TCCTGTTCAAGTAAGATTTTAACTTCGTTTATGTCATTAGGTTTCTCTGTGTTCCTCTTGCCCTCTGCCATGAGAAGAACTTATCCCAGGTAGCTACAGGGGCATCAGCCTGTGAGGGATGTTGTATGTCCCAGAATGAGAGAATGAACCAGATACACAGCGTGGAACATAGTTATTGTAGCTGCTTCACAAACTCACGAGTAAGAAATTCATTTTAGTCATTATAAACCAATGAGAGTTTGGATTGTTTGTTATATAGCATTATTGCAGCAAAAGCTGACCAATACAGCCAATAACTAAACAAGACAAATAGCAAACTGGGACAAAAATGAGGCTCTGAAATCCTTTTTGTGTACTCCTCACAGATTTCTACATGACTTTTAATGACTTATTTGAGGTATCTTTAGTGTTTATTTTGACTTCACCTACAGGAAAATGCTGGAGAAGGGGAAAATCAGCTTACAAAGAAATTTAGTCAGTGCCTACAACACCCTCAGGATTGGTCTTGATTCTGAATTTTCCCCCTTAGAGCCTGTTTTTTCCAGATAGAGTAGGAGTTTTTGCTTTTTCGGTGTTTGGTCAATCAGCAATAATAACTAGTACTACATATTAGTACATACGAGGTGCCATCCTAAATACTTTCCATGTATTACATTAATTCTCCCAACAACTCTCTGTGGTAGACACTATTATTATCCACACTTCAGGGACAAAGTCACACACAAGCCACACAGCTAGGAAGTCATAGCACTGGGAGGTCTAACTTCAGAAACTATTCTCTTGACATTGTTGTTGCCTCTTGAACAACTTTCACATTTTGTTCCTTTTATGTAAAACAACAGACAGACTCCTCCTAGAAAAGCAACTTTCCCAGTTTTCTCTGAAAACAGGAGGATTCCAGATCTCTGTGGTGAGATGCGTGTACAACCACCCTCGAGAGTGACTGACAGTCTGTTGCCACGTTTGTTGCTTTAGTCCCTCTATATCTCTCTCCCCATCATTTTGGTCTAGAATACTTCTTTTTCCACTTTCTAATTCCCTCATCAGAGAAACAGAAATTATGGTTTTTCATTTCATTTTGACCCAGAAACCTGAAGGCAGATGATACAATTTCTAGCAAACACTTCATTAGAATAAAAATCCAACCAAAGAACACATCTTTACATCTTCTATGAGTTCATTGCAATGAGATGCAGCTTGCATAGGGTAAGGTTGAAATTTAAAAACTGTGTAAAATAATAGCATATATCATTTCAGGACCCACTCTGAGGCATTTTACATATATCAGCTTTACTTCTAATAATAATCTCGTGGAGAAACTATGATTACCTTCTTTTATGGGCAAGGAGATTGAATCTTAACAAAATCACACACCTGCGTGATGGAGAAACAGTTCAGCTAGATTTTCATGATTCCAAATTCTCTTGTCCTGGTCTCCCACACCTCATCACTGCTCTTGCTTTGAGGAAAAGATTGTTAAAAACCCTCAAATTACTGCACAAAATGAGTTTTTTCCTATATTTATTCATATAACATAAAAATCTCTGAAATGGATTTAGCTCTCCATTTCTTTCCTGCAACGTAAGTGCAACTGACTCAGAATGAAATAAATATAGTCTCTCCTGAGTGCACATTATTGTGAGATGAATTGTTAAAGAGGACTGACACTTGGCAAGAGAGATGGCATTTCGAAAAAGAAGCCGCTAAGCTATTTACTATCCGATTTTTTTTGCTCTAACCTGGGCAAATACATTCTAAATCTATGAGACTCTACCCTCTGCTGCTTTTAATGGATAAGTAGAGGAGAGATTGTCAACTGTTTCCTTTTACTATTTCATGTGTCTACTCAACATGGTGTAACACAGTATTTGACCTATAATTTTTTCTCTAAGTCTAATTACCTATCACACTAAGCCATTGTAAGAAGGCAATATTCTGAAAAGAGAATCCTTTTTTATTTGCATGTCAAATTCTCCAAAGACGTATATCAGCAACCTCAGCAACTTGTATTAAGAACACAATAAAGCCATGCTACCCTGAACAAGCCCAATCCCATCTGATCTTGGAAGCTAAGCAGGGTCGGGCCTGGTTAGTACTGAGATGGGAGACCACTTAGGTGTAAAAAATAAAAAAATAAGGGATTGTAAGCTGACAAGGTCCTTGCAATCTGTTTGGTCAACCAAGGGTTGCCTTGACTAAAATAAACAATAAAAATTTATTGCTTTACAGAATCTTGAAATTGTACTCTGAAGGGAATATAACAGTTAAACACAAAGCACATTTTGTAATTTTCTTGTCATACGTTTTTCCTAAATATTAAAAAAAATAAATGGGAGGCAGATTAAGAAGAAATTGGTTTCCAATCTGTTTCCTTTCAAAACCCAGACAAATGGGAACTAACGCGAAGGTCCAGGGACACTGGAGAATGACATGGATATATTAGATAGGGTTTTGCAGTGAGTTAGGACAATTAGGATATAATATAAAGAGAAAAAGATTTGTTATAAGGACTTGAATCACTTGATTATGGAGGCTGGCAAGTCCAAAATTCATAGTGGGGGCCAGGAGGAGGATGGTAACCCAGGACAACTGATGTTCCATTTTGAGTCCAAAGGCAGTAGAATTAGGAAGAGCTTATGTCTCAGATGAAGTCAAAAGACATTCTGCTGGAGAAATTCTTATTCAGGGGGTGGGGCAAGCCAATCTTTTGTTCTATTCAGGCTTTTGACTGATTGAATGAATCACACCCAAATTATAGAGGACCATTGCTTTACTCAAAGTCCACTGATTTAAATTTTAATCTCATTGAAAACACCCTCAAAGAAACAACAAGCATAATGTCTGGTCAAATATCGGCTACCCCATGGCCCAGCCAAGTGGACACATGAAATTAATTATGTCAGTGGATGTAAAGAGAATCCAGCCATCCAGCAGTGGTGTCCAGGTAGGCGGAGGCATCACATGTTCAATCCAGGTAAGCCATAGAGGATCACTAGTGAACTTAGAAAATCAGAAAATTCTTATAATAAACACCTGCTAAGCATTGAAGGGCTGTTCTCAGAAGTTGTGACATAAAGTCAACCATTTCGTATAGCAACCAAACTGCAACTGAAATATCATTCTAAAACATAAGTTACTACTCCAAAAGATAGGAAAGCCATGAAAAGAAGTTGAAGCAGAATGCATTTATATCAGGTATAGCAGACCCTAACTGATATGATTAAAAAATTAGATAACGATATCACTCAAAACGAGTTTCATGGTCTCCATTTCCAAACCTTTAATCTTGGAGCCCACAACAATGTGGCATTCAGGTTCATGGGAAAAATTGCCCTATTCCAGATTTTACTTTCTTTTTATTCTCTTGGTTTAAGAAATCTCAGTAAACTGAGAAGACATATTAAAAAATTACTGCAAGAGGTAACTAACACGATTTTTTTGAGATGATTACTTCTTCAATGGGCGAACATCTTTCAAGCTTCAGAAAAATTTACAATCAAGCATAAAAATGTTTCATAGAGCCAAACCTATAGTATCAATAATTCATGTACTCGAGAATACTCTGTTACATTGTTATTATAAGTGTTTATAATAGCTAAGAGAATTTGGTCTATATATCAATCATGATAGGCTTGGTTAGACCATGATAACAAATAATTATAGAGACTTAGAAGTTCGTTCTTGCTCCTACCGTAAGTTCCTCAGGACTGGCAGGAAAATATGCTTTTTTAAAAAAAAAATTCATATTATTTTTTCCAGATTTATTGAGATGTAATTGACATATAACATTGTGTAAGTTTAAGATTTACAAAGTGATCATTCGATACATGTATATATTATATAATGATTACTATACTAAGGTTAGTTAACACTTCCATCACCTTTTTTTTGTTTGTTTGGTGAGAACATTTAAGATTTACTCTCGTAGCATCTTTCAAGTATGTAATACAGTATAGTCACCATGCTGTACATTAGATCCCCAGAACTTATCTACCTTATAAATGGAAATCTGTACACTTTGGCTAACATCTCCCCATTTACCCAAACTCCCAGCCCCTTGCAACCACCATTCTATTGTCTATAAGTTCAGCTTTCTAAGATTCCAGAAATGAGAGAACACACATATGAGAGAGAACACACAGTTATTTGTCTTTGTCTAACTAATTTCACTTAGCATAATGCCCTCAAGGTCCATCCATGTTGTTGCAAAAAGCAGGATAGAAAAATATGCTTCATACTGCCTTCATCAGGGACAGACTGAAGAAAGCACCGCTATCTGGAGCGTCGCTGTTACATGTTTCTGGGGTCAGAGAACATAGCACTGGCTCTTAAAGTTTTCTGACTAGGAAGTGACCCATGTTGCTTTTGCTCGTATTTATTGGTCAAAACAAGTCACACGGCCAGGCCTAACTTCAGTGAACAGGGAAGCAAATTTTTACCATGAATCTGGAAGGAAAAAATGTGAGTTATTGGTTATTAGCTTTAATGCCTACAATTAGCCATTATATAACATTAGATGAGAATTCCAATGTAAAATGTATGATCTGCATAATCAGTTTAGACTTATGATTTTAAGTTCAAAGATTGAAATTTATGAATAATATTAAAAATTTAAGAGAACTTGACATCCATTATACCTATGTTTATTATATACAGAATTATTTAAACACTTGGAAAGTTTCTTTTTATTTAAATTGGACTACGAAGTACCCAAATAACTAAGTAACTAAGTTTGTGAATGTGCTTATTAATTAACATAACTTTTAAAAAAAATGACCATTAATAATTTTTGGTGTTATTAGTAAGCTTTGTATGTTGAATTAAAAAAGTTAAGAAGGAACTAGGTTTATGAATTTATTACTCTAATAAACAAATACTATTTTTTAAAACTAAAGTAAACTTTTGAACAGAAGCTTACTTTGATACCCTTTTTGGGTATCAAAATCTCACATGTAATACTATTATCATCTAAAGGCCTACTTTTTTTTTCCCTTTTTCAGCATTTCAACTTGTGAAATGATTATCATTAAAGACTTAAGCATGAAGACATGTGACAGATGTTGAGCATAATCCAGGGAGCCCTAAAGATGCAGTCTGGTAGGTTTCTAACAGAGTGATTATCTTTCTCTTTACCTTACATAAATAATTTTTTAAAGATTTTCAAGCCTTTAATAATTTATTTTTTTAATTACAGTTGGTATGTGATATTATATTAGTTTCAGGTGTACAACATAGTGATTAGACATTTACATTACTTGCAAACATAGTTATTCTAATATTATTGGCTATATTCCTTATGCTACACTTTACATTTCTATAACTATTTTATAACTACAAATTTGTACTTCTCAATCCCTTCCTCTCTTGCACACACCCCAACCCCACTCCCAACTGGCAACCTTTAAAATGTTCTCTTTATCTATGAATTTGTTTCTTTTTTTAAAAAATTTTTTTCTTTAAATTCCATATGTAAGTGAAATTACGTGGCATTTGTCTTTGTCTGACTTACTGCACTCAGCACAGTACCCTCTAGTTCCGTCCATGTTGTTGCAGATGTCAAGATTTTATTCTTTTTTTTTTTTTTTGCTAAGTAATATTCCACTGTGTATATATACAACCTCTTCTCTCTACATTCATCCACTGATGGACACCAAGGTTGCTTCCATATCTTGGCTATTGTAAATAACACTACAGTAAACATATCTCTTTGAAGTAGTATTTTGTGTTTCTTCATATAAATTCCTTCTTTGTCTCTTGTTATAGCCTTTGTTTTCAAGTCTATTTTGTCTGGTATAAGTATTGCTATCCCAGCTTTTTGTTTGTTTGTTTCCATTTTCATGAAACATCTTTTTCCATCCCTTTATTTTCAGTCTATGTGTGTCTTTCAATCTGAAGTGAGTCTCTTATAGACAGCATATGTAAGGTCTTGTTTTCTTATCCATTCGGCTGCACTTTCTTTCGATTGGGGCATTTAATTCCTTTACATTTAAAGTAATTGTGGATAGATCTGTAGTTATTGCCATCTTATTATTTATATTTTTGATCTTTTTTTTTTTCTTTTTTTCCTCTTAAAGGAGTCCCTACAACATTTCCTGTAATGCTGACTTGGCGATGAAGAGTTCATTTAGCCTTTTCTTGTCTGGGAAGCTCTTTATCTGTGCGTTGATTCTAAGTGGTGACTTTACTAGATAGAGTAATCTTGGTTATAGGTTCTTGCTTTTCATCACTTTGAATATGTCCTGCCCATCCTTTCTGGCCTGCAAAGTTTCTGTTGAGAAGTTGGCTGACAGTCTTATGGGAGCTCCTTTGTAGGTAACTAATTGCTTTTCTCGTGCTGCTCTTAAGATTCTCTTTTTGTCTTTAACCTTTGGCATTTAAATTATGACATGTCTTAGTGTGGGCCTCTTTGGGTTCATCTTGTTTGGGACTCTCTGAACTTCCTGGGTTTGTATGTCTATTTCCTTCTCCAGGAAAATTTCAGTCATTAATTCTTGAAATAGGGAAATTTTCAGTCATTAATTCTTGAAATAGGTTTTCAATCCATGCTCACCTTCTTCTCCTTCTGCTATTCCTGTGATGTAAATATTGGTATGCTTGATGTTGTTCCCGAGGCCCCTTAAACTATCCTCATTTTTTTGGATTATTTTTTCTTGTTGCTGTTCTGATTGCGTGTTTTCTGCTATCTTATCTTCTAAATCACTGATTTGATCCTCTGCTTCATCTCATCTACTGTTGATTCCTCTTAAGGTATTCTCATTTCAGTTATTGTATTCTTCATATCTGACTGGTCTTTCTTATGTTTTCCCTATCCACTTTAATGTTTTCTATCTCTTTGTTAAGGTTTTCACTGAGTTCATCTACTCTTCTCCTAAGTTTTTTGAGCATCCTTATATCCAGTGTTTTGAACTCTGCGTCTGATAGATTGCTTGTCTCCATTTTTTTAGTTCTTTTTCTAGAACTTTGTTCTATATTTTTCATTTGGGACATGTCGCTTTGTCTCTTCATTTTGGTTGCCTCTCTGTGTTTCTATGTATTAGGTAGGGCTACTATGTCTCCCGGTCTTAGTAGAGTGGCCTTATGTAGTAGGTGTCCTTTGGGGCCCAGTGGCACAGTCTCCCTGGTTACCAGAGCTGGGTGCTCAAAGTGTGTCCCTTGTGTGGGTTGTAATTGTGCCCTCCTGTTGTAATTGAGCCTTGGTTGCTATTTGCACATCAGTGGGAGGGACTGACCCTAGGGATAATTGGTTGTGAGGACTGGCTGATTACTACAGTGGAAGAGCTGTTGTACAGGGGCTCACCTTATGGAGCCTGATTCATTTTTGCAGGGCTCTAGTGCCTTCCCAGTCTGTCCATTGGGTATGTCATTTTTGGATGTGGCCCTGGGTGGTGCTCTGGCTCAGATGGAAGCCACCCACCAGGCATGCAGGCCGGTGCCTCCTGGAAGGAACCCCACTGCAGGCCCAGTTCAGCTGCAGCCTGTGCCCTACCCAGGGCCACCTGGCGTAAGCCATCAAGCAATCTACAGGTGTCCATCACCCACTCTGAGCTTGGATGTGCTTTGAGAGGCCAAGCCACAAATGAAGGCCAGCTGCTGGTAGTGCTGGCCTTAGGGCTGCTCAGCAAGAGGTATGGAGCATGCCAAGTCCAGATGCTTCTTGTTTGGGTTTTGTGAGCCTTTGAGAGATTTTAGTAAAGTCCCCAACAAGAGCCATTTGTATGGAAAAAACCACTAGAGGCAGCTTGGGTGAGCCTGCATGTTGGAAGGGGTGGAGTCACTGGACAGGGCAAACAGTGTCAATCAAATTGATGAGACTCAGATATGGTGGCTACCTGTGTCTACATGCTGGGAATGGGGAGGGCTCAATGAGGGAACAATGGATTTTGCCAATACTTCTCTGGGAGAAAGCTGCCCCTCCAACCTTCTCCCTGAAGCCAGACAGTGCAGTTTTCCCCTATGTGTCTCTGGCCCTTTATGAGTGGCTGCTCCAGCTCCAGAGCTCAGAGCAAGTGAGTCCATCATCAAGTAAGAATGCATGTGGGCCCTTTAAGAGGAATTTTAACTAACCTCTGTTTCAGCTATAATCTCTGCTGGTTTTCACATTAAGATTTTGTGGAGACGTCTCTTCCCAGCACTGGAACCCTGGGCTTGGGATCCTGATGTGGATCTGGGACCCCTCGCTCTTCTGGGGGGCCTCCGCAGCTGAGATATCCTTCTCAATTTTTAACCACCACACTAAGGTGTGGGACCAGTTTCTTCTGTGTCTGTCCCTCCTACCAGTCTTGAAGTGGACTCCTCTGCGTGTCCCCAGTTGTAAGAGATGTCTTCAGCTATATTTCAGGTGCTTCTCAATGATGTTTTTTTCTGTAGTTTAGTTGTAATTTTGATGTGATCATGAGAGGAGGCAAGCATAGTGTTTACCTATTCCTCCATCTTGACTGGAAGCCCAATAATTTTTTTTTAGACATAGTTTTAGGAGAAAATAGTCAAACTTTCAATACTCTCTAATGTTTCTCTTTACAAACTTCGGTATTGGTAAAGTTGATGGTATTTCGTGAAGGCAAAGTACTTATTTGAATTGGATGGATTTGAATATTACATTTGATGAAACTCACTATTTACAACTCCTTTAAAGTGTGGCATATGTAGTGATTTAATTCTGATGAGTAAGAGCAAGTAAGATACTCAAGAACATATGACACAATTTATACAATGTGTGTCCATATATTTATTTATGGCTTCATCTTTACTACAAAAGAAATTATATTGTGGTTTAGCAAAGACCACAAATCTTTTGCATACAAGTCAAAGTGTCTATTTCATGTGGCTTAGGAATATGTATAAAGCTTCCATACGGGAAAAAGATTTTCAATACTCAAGCATCAAAAAACTTACTGAAAACTTTGACAAATATCAACAAATATCACAAAACTTTGAATTTGAGTTTTAATATCTAAACATTTTATTTTGCTATATATGTTATCATTGTGTAATAGAACTGTACAGAAGTTTCTGCCAAAGACCGTAGACTTAATATGTGATTATATGGTCTGTACAATGTATATATGTATATGTGTATATATGTTTATATATACATATATATATATAGATGTTAATGTTTATTTCAATATGCCCAGAGTTTACATATTCTACTAGATACCCCAATGATAGACGATTGCTCTCACAGTGCCAACTCTCTTGAAGTAAATTTCAAAACCTCAGAATAATGATTATATATTTGATTTATATAGTTTATTTCTCCCAAAGTTTTCTTTTTAAATTAACTCCATATTTGTGTGAGTGATCAATCTAATGGCTGACAGTGCTAGGTTAGGCTGACTTTGTCGTAACGTCATTACCAACAATCGAAAGAAAAAGAAAGAAAGAAAGAAAAGAAAGAAAGGAAAAAAAATAAAATAACAAGAGGAAGAGCAAAAAGAAGCCTGAGGCTGACTTTGTCGTAACGTCATTACCAACAATCGCAAGAAAAAGAAAGAAAGAAAGGAAAGAAAGAAAGGAAAAAAAGAAAGGAAAAAAAATAAAATAAGAGGAAGAGCAAAAAGAAGCCTAATGTAAGAAACCAACATTGCATTAAAATTCACGTTATCAGTTAACCTTGAACTAGGCTGTTCTTGCCCATGGGCCAAATGATTTGATACTCAAGATCCATATATTGCTGCAGATCCCCTTTCATGTGCATGCAGCACTGCGGAAGCCCCAAACCATGGCCCACAGGCGAGATTTGGCCCATCACAGTGTTTCATTTGGCTTGCACAATGTTTTAAAAATTGTTGAGCCAACATTTTGAAATTGGAAGCTTTCACATAAAAATCCAGATTTCTGGCATCTCTCAAAAAATTAGATCTGGGAACACGGGGCTCACATTTCCACACTGCAGTCTATGGGTGGCTGGGCAGGCATGCGTTCTCTTGGTCCTCATCAGTCCTTACTGATCCACAACATGAGGGTATCAGTTCCTGCTCATTGTATTTGCTGTTTCTCTTTTAGTAGAACATATTTCTCTCTACCAGCATCTTTATCAAAAGTAGGTTAAAATGTGACAGCTATATCTTTAGATTGTTCTTTATGGATTCTTTTCT